GGTTCCAATGGTGTCGGGATATCCGTGCCAATATGCTCAGAGCAATGACATCCGCAGCCGCTAGGACAAAGCTGAAGCTCTTGTTCCTCAGCAATTCCCTTCGCTGGGACGTCATCATTATCCCGCTGTGTCGCAGATAAAGACACCGAGAACCAACTCCTATGACAGTCAAAGCAGGTCACGTGGCCGCACCTCAGGCATGGGACAAGCATTCCTTCAACCACTTCGTCGCATATCACGCAAGGAAGTTTGAGAAACAGTGGTCGATGGGGTTTGCAGTTCTGGCAGGTAATATTTGCAGGACTCATTTTCAAGTGGTTCTTGACATTTGCCCCCATCGCGGGAGGCGCGAAGATAGACATCTGAAGAGCTTGGCCGCATTTGATGCAGTGCCGCTGAATGCCAAGTCCCCGATCTTCCCCATCAACGCCTAAAAGTCCAGGGTTGAGACCCGGAAGGATCAATGACGCATCCATGTTGTTATGACTCCTTTTCCGTGAGCGTAGTTCATCGGAGCGACCCACAGCTGTGCCAATTTTGAGTACTTCGCTGTGCTGCACTGGAAGGCTCCAGATCGAAAGCAAATGAGCGTACGCCATGCGGTAGGCTTTGTACAGCCCTTCTTTATGCGGATCAAGCATCGAGCTCTGATTGCTTTTTCCGCCGTCGAACTCATCCTGATTCTTCAAGACAACCTTGAATTTTGCTTGCGGCTTCGAATCCTCTTGAGGCCTCTCACTCTCGGTGTCAGAGTGGGTTTGAGATGTAAGCGCAGTGGAGGTCATGAGATAGTCGGGAACTGCCGTTGCAGGTTTTCCAGCAAAAGCACTTGTAGCCCAAGCCCCTGGTGCAGCGCTTGTAATCAGACTGCCACTAGGACTTTGCTTTTTCTTGACTAGGGGAACTGCAGGGGGGGAGGCTGAAGAAGGACCGAAGGTGAAAGACCGCGAGAAGGAAGAGGCCAGAACAGAACCAAATCCTGATCCGCTTCGTGGCTGGGATTGCTGATCGGGAGAAGCGGCTATCGAAACATTGTGGCTCAGAGTCTTCCTGTCTGCATTGAGCGCACCTGCGCGGGAGGCTAACGGTGGAGTTGTGCCAGTTGAATATGGCGGCGTAGAGTCCGCACGCCAGATCTCGGAAGATGAGCGCCCAGAGCTTTGGGTGATCGGTGTTGGTTGGCCTTCCTTCGGTGTGGATGCAAGGGGCGTCACGGCCTGCGACTTGTTCTGAGTGGCTGCCTGAGCAGGAAAGAGATCCATAGAAAATGATTGCTGCTCCATCCGATTTGATACCGTTTCATTATACCTGGTTGCTTCCTTTGAGAGCTCTTCGCTGCTTGGCTGTTGAAGCACGCAGGAGAGCATTGCAATCATCTGCACATCACCAATCCTTTCGAAATGATCGAACAGAGATGGAATTAGCCAATGACCACCAAAGGGGTGATCTCCCCATTGGGTGGCGCTGTTTGCTAACTCCTTACGGCTCTGCTCCTGATTACTCAGATCAAAGCTCAAATCCACCGCACTGTCCTTCCGCTGTATATCCGGTGGTCTCTCGGGCATATCTGAGCGGGGTGGAGACAACGGATCGTTCTGATTATGCAAAATCAGCTTGACCAGTCCCCAGATCCGAGCTAGTTCGTAGTAGCCTAGATCTAGGGCTGCCGAAGCATTGTGAGCACATACATCGGTAACCTTGCCACAGATGCGATATCTTCGGGCCAATTCACGCTTTGCTGGTAACAGATCGCTGAAATCATGTATAGATATTACATTTTGCGGAGACTCGGACGACTTTGCAGTCATTGCCCCAGCGGTTGATCGCTGTGAGTGGTCGGTGGACCTGGGCCGATAAATACCCAAACTTCCAGCGCTGCGCCATGTTTGAGGAGTCGGGAATCGTGCTTGCAAGCCTGACAACATGTCAGACGAACCTGACGAACTTGAAGTCTCAGCATCTGAATCATCGGAATATTCCGAGGCACCATCGTCCGTGCTCGCCAGTGTGCCACTGACTTTCGGTCCGGGGGAGCTTGTCTGGATACGACCGAATCCTTCAAAGACTTTATCTGCCCTTGAGAGTCTCGACATCTCTTTGAGTCCCAAATTCTCGATCAACGATGCTGACTTGTCCTTCTTATAAGGAAAGAAGCACACTAGTCGGCCATCATTGGCCCAGAGCGCGCCGCATGCCTTGGCCACGGGAACCATGACATTAGCATTATTAACCGGACGGAGCAGCTCAGAACTCATGCCCAGTTCTTGACTCTGGGACATTCCCACTTCATCTTCGTCGCTTGATTCGTCGCCTCCTAGGTCGCCATTTATAGGAGACTTGATCGTCTCGGCTGTTTCGCCCAGTATATAAGCTATGGTCTCCTCTAGGCTGCTTTCCCCTAGAAGATAACGGACAACGCCTTCGAGACAGCCTCTCTTATGAGACAAGTAGGTCTCCGCGATCGTTCTCAACTCGCTTATCAGCTTATCAGCAAGCTGGTCAGTGACGGCGGCAGTCCTCTGCACACTGAAAGTCGGCATCGAAGTCTTGGGATAGTCAATTGGGAATTTGATGTCCACTTTGAGAAATAGAGAATTACCCTCTGCACCCCATGGGCCATGCAGGGATATTGTTGCTTTGCGTTGCCTGACGTCCACAGATTCAAAAGCAACTTTGGTGAATTTCTCTCCAACATGCGTTATCTCGTCTCCCAGGGTTTCAATATCCCATCCCGAAATCTTCACACCACGCATCCAGGATATGGGGTTCGTATCGGCCCGAAAGTTCGACCTCCCTTGCATACCAACTCTAGAGTCTGCGTTGCCTCCTTGAGTCCATGGGCGGGAGTAAGGGACAGATATTGTATTAATACCAGTACCACCAGCAAGCTTAGGGTTAGGTGATAGAACAGAATCGGGTTCGCCATACAGATCATCGCCCGTTGTATCGCGGAAAGTCTTGTAGACAGCGCCTTGCCGTGTGACGTTCAACGTGGAAACGAAAGACTTCCCTTTCTCGTAGCCGACACGTTGGAGAATATCTGGATCCACCCGGTGTAGACGAAGTTCCCTATCAGTGCCCCACGACACAAGCTGAAATTCCCTGTAATCGATTCCATCCGCCACACCTCCACGTGCTCTCCAAAGGAATTCCTTTACTTGACCTTTATGACCCGGAAAACTGTGCACCAGTGGAAGGTTCTCTGTGAGGTTGGTACCGTCGCCTGATCTGCGACTATATAGATGCAGGTCGCTGTTGCCCCTCTGTGGCATAGCCAAGACTCCCCATCCAAATGGGGTATTGCGTGCCCGCCATACTGGGAATGGAGTGGTTATGACCTTCTCGGGTACTTCGTCGTCCACCGTGTAGTCCCAGAATTTGATTGTTTTATCCAATGAACATGTTACCAAAGCTCCCGGTCTGACTCTATTCCAGTCTACCCCGTAAATCTTGGTATCATGAGCCTCAATGGATTTGATCGGGTAGGCTCCCATTCTCGTGTCCCATATCCGGAGAAATCTGTCATGAGAACTGGCGATGACATTTGGGTCCTGTCGGTTCCATTTGACTTGCGTTGCACCAGCAAACCAGTCGGAGAACGAGATGGCAGGCTTGGAAGGGGTTCGCAGATCCCAGCAATGAACAAAACTGTCCACAGCACACGTCGCCAGAAGGTCGGGATGGTGAGCGGAGAAATTGATATCCGTGATAGCTCGCGTATGAGCATGCAGGACATGTTCGATAGAATTCTCCGAAGTCTGCATTGCCAGATTCCATACCAAGGCCTTCTGGTTGGAAGTGCTCACAACCCAATAGTCCCGCGCAGCGAAGGGAGACCACTGAACGTCCGCGACTTCCCATGGCGTATGATGAGGAAGATACCGAGGAGGAGAATACGGGGAATCCAAGTCAATGACATGCAGGCCTTCCTTGGAAGCCAACACAACATCTCTTCCACATGGAGATATGGACATGGAACCGACGGGCTGCTCCACATGGAACGAACTGTCTTCCCCGAAAGTGGGACTTTCGAAGGCCGAAGCCGAGGGCCTGGGCTCCATTATGTCGACCATTGCTGCAACCAGAGAGGTTGCCCGTTCCAGAGTGCTTCCTAAACCGTACAGCCTCGCGTCCACCTCGGACGTGAACTAGAATTAGATATTGAAAGATCACACGGAGAGAGGATAAGCGGTAGGGAGATCTGTGGTGCTCTCATCTCGGAAGAACTTGGCAATTGGCCATCAATTGATTATGGGAGAAACGATCCTCTGAGACCATCGATTGCGCGCATTATTCGAAGCCCACTTGCTCGAAAGCTTGAACGATACCACGGTGTCCGGAAACCTAGTTGGCGTTCACAGTTGCCTCAATCGCTGCTGGGATGAGGTCAATTCGCGGTGAGCATGTGTTTGCGCTTTATTGCAGAATTTCACGTACCTTTCTATAAGAATTTAAGTGTGTGGAAGCCAGGGGCCTTTAGCACGACACTGACAGTATCTAGTCTGTACCTCCGTGTCCGTGCAGAGTGCAGAGTGCAGAGTGCAGAGTGCAGAGTACAGAAGCCCAACTCCTTCCTTATCTCCGCAATTATTCAGTTGTGGAGATCTACCATATGCATACTAGTTAGTTAGCAGTGCCATATAATGACTAAGCTAAAGAACTGCGCATCTTGTCTGTATAGGCTACCGTGGCAGATCAACAGGAATCGAATAGAGAAGGCGGTCAACCCCGGCGAGGTAAACGCCCCTCTGACGGTTACGTCGATTTCTAATTTCTTCTACTGGAGGTTATTCCGACAGAGACTATCTGATTCCTTGGTGTTTTGGTCACTTCATCACTGGCTCTTTGCATTTTTTCCTGGGCCTTATCCCGAATTTCTCTTTTCTCTGCTTGCTAGACAGATCAAAATTGAAGTTCAGTAGACCTATCAACCCCACCTTGGATATCAGAAAGAGCGGAAACTCGGATCGCGATAAGCTTTTCCCTTTGGGTGGTTCATCATGGCCCTGCCAAAGCGAATTGTAAAGGAGACCGAGCGCCTTATGGCAGAGCCGTGAGTTGCAAATTATCTCCAGGAAGGATAAGTCATGATTGACTGACGCGTTTGCTTCCTCAAGGGTCCCCGGCATCAATGCTGTGCCTCATGAAGACAACCTTCGATACTTCGACGTGTCGATCCACGGGCCTGCTCAGTCGCCGTACGAAGGTTTGACGCCGATAAAAAGCCATTTTTGGGCAGATAGCGGGTTTCTAATAGTCTAAACAGGAGGCATTTTTCGTCTCGAGCTCTTTCTGCCGGAGGATTATCCTATGACCCCGCCAAAGATCCGTTTCTTGACCAAGATCTACCATCCCAACATTGACCGCCTTGGACGCATTTGCTTGGATGTTCTGAAGAGTACGTCGTTCTATTTCTTTGCGAGTAGTCATTGGCTAATGGTATATCAGACAATTGGTCCCCTGCTCTACAAATCCGCACGATTCTTCTCTCAATCCAGGCCTTGCTTGGAGCTCCTAACCCTGATGACCCGCTCGCCAATGACGTTGCACAGCGTTGGAAGGAGGATGAGCAAGCTGCGATACAAACTGCAAAGGAATGGACAAGAACTCATGCAATGACTTAGAATCTGGGGCATCTCATTCAATTTTGCTATGACGAATATGAGAGCAAGACTGCTGTTATGTGACCATGAAGAAAATATAACCGCAAGCATAGGCCCTGGAGGCTCTTCTGCGGTTCCAACCATGCCGTATAAACATACCGCTATGCCTTTCACATGGGACGAGTCTCCTTTCTGTACTTTCCCTTTGTTGCTTCTACTCTCTCTCTTACTGAAGAGGAGGGTCTTTGTGGCTATGAATCGTGGAATTCGGCTTTCAAGCTGCTGGCTCACACATTGGCATGTCTGTCATCTCACAACTACACCATTCTGACTAAACCTTACTATATAGACTGTCAACACTCAAAATGATCACTCTGTGAATATCTGGTTCAAACTAGTGCTTCGTGTCTTCTGTCTCGATTATTTACCACGTTTGTGCTTCTGTTCTGGGAGTTGAATACAACGCGTTCCTGAACAAACTGTCCAGCGAGTCGCCGGTTAGTTGAGGGAAGGCAGCGAAGTCCTAAATATTCATAATAATATAGAGTGACTTCAATCCTCTCTTTTGGTGCTGTGAGAAGTGAGAGTACACTACAAGGCAGGATAATCATCAAAAATCACGTATATAGATAGGTGTACAAAGCCTGAGTAACCAGAACCAGATGATGGAAGATAGTTTGATATTGAAGGACTTGAAAGCTGATCCGGATGAAGAGCTTGCTATAGTACAATACCTTCTTGTGCATGAAAGTACATCAAAGAGTAGTCAGTGAGTGTATTATTACCACAGGTATCCATGTAGTAAGGTACTATCAAATAAATGATAACTGTTTCTGCCACTGATGACGACCCTTATTATAGAACATTCACTTCCCTCTAGTGGCCGGATAGAACACAACTTATATCCGAAAGGCTGTTGATAGATAGTATAGCCTTAGTTCATGATCTACTGTGTCTAGGACATATTTCATTACGACCTTGACAGTGTGAGTTTCTGAATACCATTCATAAGAAATGTGGTGAAATTTGGCAGGTTAACACTAGGACTTATCTCTCTTACAGGTCCATCCTTCACAGATACTGACATTGGGCATTCGACGATGAGTCCGGACCCTCACGCTGGTGACCCCAAGGCTCTCAAGAATCGTTCAGGGATGAACGCCGAGAGGCTAAACTTCTCACAAATACAAAGTGAAAATTTCCCTCTCACTGACAGCATCATCGTCCCCAAGAGTCGTGTTGCTCGCGCTTTGGATACTTGTATCAGGTATTTGCAAACAACACCTGGTGTCGTATCTTCTCCCCGCTAAGAATCTCCGTTGTTAGCAATCTCAAGAATCCAGGGAAGCATAGGCTCAAGCTCAGAAGGTCTCGCTCCTTCGAGTCTGAGAGAAGCATCCTGTCTCACGACGTTACGCATCCCGCATCTGACCTACCCCCAGTGCCAGACCTGAACGATCTGCCTGAAAAAGTGAGAAAGCGAGTGGAAAGTTCATCACAGTTGATAATCAAGGCAAGTATCCCACCGTCTCTGCTCGGTTGCCCAAGAAACTGCAAGTCAGCAAAACTGACGGTCAACAGAAGGATCTTGATAAAGCATCCCCCAAGGAAAGTTCTTTCAGAAGAAAGTTCAGCAGAACGATGACTGGTGGCTCTGTCGAGAAAGCCAGCAGCATGGACAGAAAGAGCTGGCAGACCCAGTCCTCCTCCACTGCTGATGGAGGAAAGACTCGCTCTCTCCGCTCCGCCTCGGTCACGGCGGCTGATAAAGATCTGGCTGAAGCAGTTACCGCAGCACCTATTGAAGGAGACCTCGAAAAGCTCAAGATTTCTGACGGCCTGAAGAGAGAGGGAAAGCCTGCTGCTATCAATACTGCGCAGCCAAAGGTCGTCAAGTGCCTCAGATCGCCTGGTGGTAAGTGTTACTGAACTTCCCAATTTAGTCTTCCAATGAGCAGGACGCTGATTTAGACATGAACAGACTATGTGTTCCTTGATCTGGACACCCCCGGAGAGAAGAGCGACGAGGATAGCGACTCCAGCCCCGATCTTTCCCCCAAGGCCAAAGGTACTGAAGACGAATCTGGTGAGTACAAGGTGTCTGAGCACTAGCATGGATTTTGCTGACCAGTTAAGGCGAAGGTGCGAACGACCAGGATCCCAAGAGCATTCTCGAAAAAAGAGTAAGAGCTGTGGCTATCATGTCAACTAGTTCGAGATAGCTAACAGAGTGACAGCTCGATGAAATCCGCCACATCACGAAGACCATATTCCAGGGACAGTCGGATGAGGATACCAAGTCTGGAGAGGCTCCGCATGACGCCAAAAAATGGGATGCAAAGAACATGAAATGCACCAAGTGCTTCGGAGACTGCCCAATCTGCGGCAAAGCCTGTTGCATCTTCGACATTGCTCGCCGCACAGCTGCCGAGGCAGATCCCACCTCTGAACATGCCGAAGCAGCAAATCAGATTCTCAAGATCATCCAGAATCTGGGCTGCAGAGTCATGGAGTCAAGCACCTACTCTCTGTGCACCACGCCCGGAGGCTGCGGACGGTATGTATGCTCCAACTGCTGGGGTATCTGTCCGGTCGAGCTATGCCGCGACGTCCAGTGCAAGGTAAGCAATGATATTTCCTGTTCTGTCCTTGTCAATTGCACAATGAATGGATGCTAACAGTTCCTTCTCTGGTAGGACTGCAAGGAAGATCCCTGGGCTGCGTGCGACTGGCATGATTACTGATGCTGCCATGAAGACTACTCGATGCGAAGTTAGTCTGATAATGCAGAATTGATTATTGCAAGGGAAAGTTGGTTTCTAGCTATCATGCCACTCGAGCATCGATTGAGATGAGCGCCGTTGATACATCTATGGCATGAGAGTATCACATTTGAGAAACGATGGGAAAAGCCAAAAAAAAGGGAAAAAAGAAAAAAGAAAAAAAAAAAAAAGGTTATGTATTACATTACGATCACAGAGAAAGAGCCAACAGATAAATAATTCCCTTGCAATGATTCCTTTATTTGATGTTCTCGTAGTCGCAGTAGAGGTATGGGAGACTTGAAGTTGTAAGGCGGACGCTCAAGGGCAGACGAGGTCACGTGTCGCACTTTAGCGAGGCTCCGCACCGCACCACAATTGTGTCAGTCTCACGAACAGCTCGCCGCAGCGACCGAATCGACTTTACCACCCAACGCCAACCGACATAACCTCGTCTCGACCGGCTGCGCATCTCCAACATTCAAGATGCGTACCTACGACGATTCTTTCAGCGGTCAGAAGATCTACCCTGGAAAGGTGCGTTTTGTCCCTGCCGAAGTCATCAATCATTCAGCAATTCCCGCCACGATTCTCTACGAGCGCAACGCCGATTCATGAAAATCTCCCACAAAACTTATTCTCTGGATATGGGTTAACATAGTGTTGGATTTGCAAAATATAGGGTAAGCTGTACGTCCGTGGCGACAGCAAGATCTTCCGCTTCCAGAATGGAAAGTCCGAGTCCCTGTTCCTCCAGCGCAAGAACCCTCGCCGGATAGCCTGGACTGTCCTCTACCGCCGTCAGCACAAGAAGGGTATCTCTGAAGTCAGTACTACCGAATTCCTTTGAATGATTTGTCCTCGAAGATCTCGTGATTGGTTCGAAGCAGAAGAATGGACAGGGGGTTTTATACGTTGGGGGAAACGAAGCGTCATTGAATGTGTGGACAATGGGGGCTTGGAACAATCACGAGTGACGCGATATGAGAAGTGGAAGAGCAATTGCTGACGGGGTGTGTTTTCACCATGAACAGGAAGTTGCCAAGAAGCGCACCCGCCGTGTCGTCAAGCACCAGCGTGCCATCGTCGGTGCCTCCCTTGATGTGATCAAGGAGCGCCGCAGCATGCGCCCTGAGGCTCGTGCCGCCGCTCGCCAGCAGGCTATCAAGGAGGCCAAGGAGAAGAAGGCCGCTTCCGAGAGCCGCAAGAAGGCTGAGAAGGCCAAGAACGCCGCCAGCGCCGCCAAGGGCACTGCTCAGCGCATCCAGAGCAAGCAGGGTGCTAAGGGTTCTGCTCCCAAGGTCGCCGCCAAGTCTCGTTAAACGGATTGAAGGCGGTTCGGCTTGGGCTGGGGAGTAGATAGGAGGATCCTTGTGGTTGAACTTTGGGAGGTTTCCGGAGCTGGAATTTTGTTTCCCTCGCAAGATCTCAACAACAACAAATCGGCGTGCGAGCGATGGGCTCTTGCGGATGAGACAACCCGCATGGTGTTCAGATAGGCTTTATCATTTTCGCGCCATGGTAACTACCAGGAATGGAAAAATGGATGTTTTAATGAAGCCCGTTCTTTTTTTTGACAGACCTTCCCTCTCCTGCCTGTAGATTCTACATCCGATTCTCCTGCATACACCAACGGATCTTGCGAGTTATACAAGTCTAGAACACTTTGCTCGGCATCAGACCATTTCTGAATAGCCCTATCGGCGATACGTAGCAGATGAAGTAGGCATTTCACAGACCTAGGTGAGAGGGACAATATTCAGAGCTCTTAGGTTGTGCTTGACCGTGTACTGTCCAGATCTCTTTGGAATCAACATGATGATCGGCTCAAGAAAAGCACTTCATTTGCATCATAGGCCTGGGTCCCTACGCTGTGATATCGGCCTCTTAAGCGCAGATGGCTTATCAATGCGGATAGTGTAATTACAATACTGTATCTAACGGACCCTAGCTAATTATGGAGTAGTAGGGCTCAAACCTACAACATGCCTTTTTAGGCAATGATATTGGCTGAATACTCCCACCCGTACCTGCCTACCGCATCAACAAACATAGAAAGGATGAAGCTGGCATGGACTTAGTAGCCCATGAATATCGAATAATGTATCGCTGTAACCTTCAAAGACAAAGCTAGCCGCAGGCCAACTTGAAATCCATACCGATCTGTATGAAACTGCTGCTGCCTGAGGCAGAAAACAAACGGGGTGACTAATCCCGATTCGCCATCTCGCTTACGGAACAGCCTAGCGCGCTTTGCCCACAAGAGTCGATCGAATCCCACCCCCTCCAGCGAAGCCCCGAAAGAGTTCAACCTCAGTCAACTTACCATCTCGATCCGACAAGCTACACATCACCAGCAGCCATGGGTAAGGTTCACGGATCTCTCGCCCGTGCGGGTAAGGTCAAGTCTGCGACTCCTAAGGTGGGTTTCTTCTTGTTCTTTAAATGAAGTTTTGATCTCCGCGTTCCTGCTGGGAGGGTTCATCGTCGCCACCGGAAGAGGAGGGATTTTGAGGAAGATTTTTGCAGCGGCCCTACACGGAGAAAAGGCAGAGAGGATATATGCGAAGACGACATGATGAACCGATGGTTTTTCAGGGAGATATTCGATGAATCTGTGCTGATGGGTTATGTTCTACTGTACAGGTCGAGAAGCAAGAGAAGAAGAAGGAGCCCAAGGGCCGTGCTCTGAAGCGCCTCAAGTACACCCGCCGTTTCGTCAACGTTACCATGACCGGTGGCAAGCGGAAGGTACGTTGAAATCCAACTCGATTGAAAGGATGCATATATGCTGTTAGACGGGGAAGTTTGGACTTCGTTCTCAAGAGAACCCAGCTTTCCGTCTGGCCAGCAGATTGTGCAAGAGGTCCTTGGCATCAAGAAGGGCAGCAGACACTGACACGGGCTCTCGCTGCAGATGAACCCCAACCCCGGTAACTAAGTCGACCGCGTCTTTTCCGGCGGAGGAAATTAGGTGATGAGAGAGGGGGATCCGACGACGATCATCGAACATAAATATCACCATCATCATCTAGTCGGGGGTTATACTGAACAAGTGACATTCTGGCCTACCTTCAGTATGGTACTTATACGGGAACAACCAACGGACAACGACTTGACTCTGGTGGAAGGAAACTGGGTTCAAGACTAGATTATGGGCTTGCAACAATGATCTTATGGGGTTAAAGCATTGTTTGGGAAATCAAAAAAACTTCTTCCTTGCAAACATGTTTTTCTAGTCAAGCATCAACCCCATCAACTGCCCAGATACCGGATGATGGCTCACAGCTTCTGGCTGAAGCGGCTTTCTGCGCCTTGTGTTTCGTGGCGGGTATGAAGAGTCGAATATCTGCATTCCGTCAATTGATTCGTCGCGGTCTTTCTCGATCAATCTACCTCTTTCACTGCGTTGGAATCGCTCCCTTCCGCTTTCATGATTGTGCTTGTTGTACTGCTTCTACGATCGTAAATTTATGCGCTATGTTTTTTTCGAAGTCGTCCTGAGCCAGGCTCAACGGTTACAACATAGTCGAGTGCCAGGCTTGTTGCATCTGGCAAAAGTAGTATCGATAGGTGTGCTTCTTACCACGGCGCTTGTATTATACCAGTGGTTCGTCTAGCATACTTGAATTAAGCTCTATCACAGGGTTCAACTCTATCAAATGATGTACTTGAACGGCAGAAAGACGTAGGACTCGGGACCCGAGTGCCTATCAGACGGTTCATCACGAAGGTGATGTCGTGATTTCATGCTCAGCGCCAAGGATTTGCTTCTAGCTCGAACGGTTCCAGAGGAGCATCGGTCTTCAGTCTCACTGGTGCACGACACAATCAGTCCGTTCGAGCGTGATGTTCATCGTCGACGCTGTAACAACGACAAAGTATGCCACCCGTGAGATCCTTGATGTTTCAACCTTGGGAACAGTCCACCCTCAAATAAAACAGATCAACGCCGAAATAACCCGAAACCCACAGATCTAATATCACTGTCCAGCTCAATCTCGAAGCTCAGTAGTAATGCGCCATCTCCAACCCAGCACGCTTAAACCCACACTTGACATAGAATCCCTCATTCGCCTCCGAGCAATCGAGAATCGTCTGTCTAGAGTCAGCCACAATCCTCGCCATCCCGACGGGAAACCAAAGAGAAGACAGAAGACGGAACATACCTTGTAACAACCCACCTTCTCAGCAACATAATCCAACGCCTGAATAATCCTTAACCCCAGCTTCTTCCCCTGCTGCCCCTTCTCAACAGCAATATCCTCGATATGCCCAACCATACCCAGCGAGTGGATGAATTTCCGCTCGACGATTAGGCTCCCCGTGCCGACGATGCGCTCCTCCCCATCGCACACAACGAGGAGGTAGTACTCGTCGCTCCGGGCGCGGATCCACTCATACCGACTGTTCCACTGCTCCTCGGTGATGTCGCCGACTGTCGTCAGCACGCGGAGGACGTCGAGGTAGCCTCTCTGGTAATCGGAGCGACGCAGCGGGCGGATGGTGTAGTCTGAGGGAAGGGCGGCAAGGACATCGGGCGAGATGAGCGAGGAGGAGAAGAGGGGGGTGTCCTCGTCTGCGGTGGGGGTGTCGACGGGTTTGGTGACCGAGACTGTGGTTGTCGTCGGAGTAACGGTGGTATTGGTCATTTTGGTATTGATTGAGTCGGAGATGGCGCAATTGAGTATAGATGAGGAGAAGAAGGTCAGGAGGACTTGTTTCGGTGGTGGTGGGTTTGTTGTGCTTTGTCAAAGTTCGGTGAGGGGTGTTGACTAGAGAAGTATGGGGGATAAGGGACTCGGGAATTCAGGGACCAAGGAGTTAATTAGTGAGACGAGACGAGGAATGTGTATGGAACTTTTCAGAGACGGCAATCGCGATGATAACCCAAGAATTGAAACGAATGGGAGTCAAGAAATGATGTTGTGGACAAGTTGTCGGTTCCTCAGCGCGGAAATCGATAAATAAAGGGCGGTCCGTGGTTGAGGCTTGGGGTTGGAGCATCTGAGACAATTCTGCTACTATAAATACCCCTGACGGCGAATTATGTTCAGCTCGAGACTACATGTACCCAGGGCTCCATCTGATGGCTGATGGTTTAAATAAAATTTTGCTCTCTCCAAGAATAAATCAAGAGCACTGCAGTTGCTTGAACCTTTTTGTTGATATTCAGCTTTCCAAAAACAGCCAGGGTTGTGATTGTTCTGTATAGGCATCCAAAGCGCATCCCAAGACCTCATTAGGAATGCTCATTCCAGCAGTAGAAAGGCCGAATTGGTAGTCGAGAAAAGGGAATTAAATGGAATAAATAGTACAATGGATTCTCAGTATACAAACAGATTGATGCACCGCTACCCTGCAGCGCTAAGATAACCAAGACTCTAAATCATAGCTCCGGCCATCCACAAACAACTTTTCATACCTCTATTTCTTCTCCTTGGGGCTCAGCATCAGCTCGGGGCGAACGTGCTTATCAAAGTCCTCCTCGCTCAGAGCCTTGAGCTCCATGGCGCTCTCTTTAAGGGTGATGCCCTTCTTGTGCGCGTTCTTGGCGACCTTGGAAGCCATGTCGTAACCGATGACGGGGTTCAGGCAGGTAACAAGCATCAAACTAGGACAGGTTAGCGCTTCAGATATAGTGGTCTGTGAATGAATGTAGACATACCTCTCGTGGAGAAGAGTGTTTATTCTGGGCTCATTAGCCTCCAGGCCCTCAACGAGGTGCTTCTCAAAGCTCTTCATGCCATCGGAGAGAATGCGCACGCTGTGCAGCAGGTTGCGGATCATCAGAGGCTTGAAGACGTTGAGTTCGAACTGGCCGTTCATGCCACCAACGGTAGCGGCAACGTGATTGCCCATGACCTGGGAGCAGACCATGGTGAGGGCCTCGCACTGTGTGGGGTTGACCTTGCCAGGCATGATCGAGGAGCCGGGCTCGTTCTCGGGCAGAATCAGCTCGCCAAGACCGCAGCGAGGTCCAGATCCGAGGTAACGGATATCCTGGGCGATCTTGAAGAGGGAGCAAGCCAAGGTGTTCAGGGAGCCGGAGGCCTCAACGATGGAGTCGTGGGCGGCAAGAACCTCGAACTTGTTGGGGGCGGTCTTGAACTCGGTGCCGGTCAGCTTGGTGACCTCCTCAGCTATGGCCTCAGCGAAACCCTTGAAGGTGTTCAGACCAGTTCCGACGGCGGTACCACCCTGGGCGAGGTAGCGGAGGTGGGGAAGGGTAGCCTCGACGCGCTCGATGTTGCGGTCCAGCTGAGCGACGTAGCCAGAGAACTCCTGGCCGAGAGTCAGGGGGGTGGCATCCTGCAGGTGAGTACGACCGATCTTGATGATCTTGTCGAACTTCTCGACCTTCTTCTGGAGAGCGTTGCGAAGGCTGCGCAGGGAAGGCAGCAGAGTGTTCTCGAGCTCGAGGACGGCAGCGATATGCATGGCAGTGGGGAAAGAGTCGTTGGACGAGGCGGACATGTTGACGTGGTCGTTGGGGTGGACAGGCTTCTTGCTGCCCATGGTACCGCCAAGGATTTCAATGGCACGGTTCGAGATGACCTCGTTGGAGTTCATGTTGGACTGGGTGCCTGAACCGGTTTGCCAGACAACCAGAGGGAAATGGTCCATCAGCTTGCCCTCGGCGACCTCAGCGGCAGCCTGCTTGATGGCCTCACCAATCTTGCGGTCTAGAGCATGCATAAGCATTTTCTCAACCAAATGTCGTTCGCCGAAAAAAAGAAAGCTTACCAAGACCATAGCGCATGTTGACCTCAGCAGCAGCACCCTTCAGGATACCGAAGGCCTTGACCACGGGCTCCGGCATGCGGTCCTGGGGCTGGTTGATGTCGAAGTTGCCCAGGGAGCTATCCTCATCTCAGTCAGCAATTCTGTGATAATCCTTCGCCCGACCCTGGCTGGTTTTGGAATGCCGTTGTTCTTGGACGCTTACCGCTGGGTCTGGGCTCCCCAGTACTTGTCCGCAGGGACCTAGAAGACAGCACACGTTAGAACCTGTAACAGAGGAAAGGTTCTGCTTGTTACTCACCTGGATCTCGCCGAAGGCATCGGACTCAGTTCGGGTAGCAGAAGACTAGAAGACGATCAGCAACCGTAATTCACAAATATTCCACTGACTGCGATCGCAAGATCCCGCACAGGAATAACGCGAAACTGTCGAGGCAGCTTCTCATCCATCAGGAAATAGCCGCACACTCACCATCCTGACGGTTGTGCCAAAAGCTCTCTTGTTGGAGATGGACTGAATGGACTGAAGGCGGGGGAATTGAAGAAGAGATCGGCTATTGGAGCTCAGCGCCCGACGGCTACTGAACGAAGCGGGGGAGCGGGCAGCGAAAGCCAGAGCATTGCGGGCAGCTGCGGGGGTGTTCATCGAGGTGGTACGAGACGCTGCATGTGTCAATGAGGCCATCGAGCGCACCGCGGCTCGGGACGTGTTGGTGGATGAAGTCAGCATATTGGCTGGTCCGAAGCTGTTGATTTGTTAATAAAAGGGACCGGTGTCACCAGGGGACCGGTTGTCTTTTCTTCAATTGGGATGCCGTGAGGCTAAGAGGAGAACGAAAGAGAAGCAAAGAGATCGAGAGAAAGAAGAAGACGAGTAGAATGAGGCACTTAAAACAGAGCTTCTGTCAGTTTCCGTCCGGCCGCCGTTTTTTGCCCTTTTGTTTCTTCTACAATCGAACGCAGCGTCTCATCAATTTCCGATCTTCTCTGCCGAAAATACCCGACCCGGTATTCCAGAAACACAATACAACAGGATAATCTTCCCAGAATTTGATTTATTCTGTGTCATACTGGTACTGTATGGTAAAGAGGATCGCCGGATAAACCATGATCCTTCTCCATCAAGAGTCTGGGGAACTAACATTGGCGTCATAAATAAATACTACAGCATGTCTTATTATCTTGAAGATAGATATCCTCTGACTACACTAGAAGCTCCCTCCGCAGCGTGGCCATGACCTTCTCGTTATACACCTTCCCCGACTCCAAAATCCCATCCAATAGTGGAAAGATATGAGGTGCTCCAACAGCACGGATCAGTTCCACACGAACTCCGGCATCCTTTAATTTGGCAGCATAAGCCTCGCCTTCATCCCGAAGAGGGTCCATCTCTGCTGTATATACCAAAGCTGGTGCTAAATCTTTAAAGTTAGGAGCCAGCATTGGGGAGATCTTCCAGTCCTAACTCCGAGGTCAGCTTCCCGAAACAAACATCATATCCGAGCGGGATACCTACCTCCTCGGATCTGGGAGGTCGAGGGCTTCCAAGGAAAAGCCTATGGAAGTATGCCATTCGTGCTGCTGGCAGCGCCGGTGTAAACTCCATTTCCCGGTATGACTCGTATGGGCAACTCTCCCGGTCAAGCTGTCCGTCTGTTGTGAAGACACTGTGCAAGTCACAGGCTGGCACAGTCAATACTTGCAAGCGCAATGGGATGTTGGCATCACGGCAGAGATGTGCAATAACGGCGGACAAATGCCCTCCCGCAGAGGCACCACCGACTGCCATTCGATCCGGATCGATATTAAATTCATGTGCTTTCTGCAATCTAATCTGAGAGGGCTGTCAGACCTATGGTCTCAAACCCCAATATGGTGCAGTGAAGGAATCCATGATCAAATCACTTACCCAATTGAAAGCTGCCCAGCAATCGTCGACAGGGATTGGGTACTTGTGCTCAGGTGCTAGTCGGTAATCGACGTCAAAAGCCACCAAGTGTCCATTGAGGCCATGTACGAGGCGTTTGCAGAAATCATGATCAACGGAGAGGTCACCAAACACCCAGCCGCCTCCATGGAAGTTGACATATGCTGCTCTTTTCTTTGGATTGCCCTGGTCATCGGACATTGAAGCAGATTCAAAGATCCGGACAGTGATATCCCCTCCCTTCACGGGACATTTCTGCTCAGTGATGCGGAACACATCTAGTCCGGCTGCGCGACCATAGGCGATGGTGTACTTGGCGGGATTTTTTCGGAAGTCTTCGATCGGTACCTCGTGAGTGTGCAGCCGTCCAGCATTGTATTTGTTATAGTATTCCACATAGACCGGGTCGAACCGAGGGAGTAGATCGGGCGGGATAGCATTGTGAAGAGGTTGATGAATGGTCCTCGGTCGAAGAGCATGCAGCTCCTTGTTTCCGGCTGACTCTGTTGTAGATGAAGGCGAAACTGTCATTGTAGAAGAGCACTGTTGATTCTTATACTCTTGCTTCGATCGATGTGATAAAATACAGATGTGCTATGAGACAAGTGAGGACGGGATGTAGATGAATATAAAACGACAGGGAAGGGAAGGCTCCTCCAAACCCCCTCACAACCCCTCTTTTATTCAGCCTGCTTATCATTTCACTTCATTCTCTCAGGACTTTGTATCTGTGTCTTGATGGCAATCTTCCATGTATCAACTGTCAGCATGGAAACCGATGAGGTTGCCCTGTCTACCTCGCGGTGATATATTTAGTGCTAAATAATAGTGGCTGCAGTCACTCCCAGTCGGCTGAAAGTTGCTGTCGTTTACTACAAACAAATGCTGATTTGCATCTTCCCTTCATCCTATTTCAACCTCCCCATCCATCAATCATTTAGTTACGAGACTAGAACTGAAGCTGGAGTTCTGAAGATGCTCATCATCATCTCCATCATCACAGATACAGTTAGTTCTTACTCCGTACTCCACCCTCGCGACCTGGAATCGTTGTCTACAACGTCTGATCATCGCTCAACATCTTCGCAACGAATCCCGAGATAGTTGAATCTATTTCTCCAGGTTCTATCTACTTTATGATGACAGTCATGTCATCGAGAAGGGACCCACTCTTCTAAGCTAAATGCGATTTGCCGTCGGCTAAGTTCATCCAGAGGCGAAACATGAGGAGAAAAAAACGTGGTGAAAAAGCCGCGGAAACCGGGGCGCATGACTAAATCTCAGTCAACCTGCAGGAACTAAGGAAGACGGCGATATCGGGGCCCTCGAACATTTATGCAAACAAGATCCACTGAGGGGACGATCTATGCTCAATTGCGCATTATTATCACTTTTTTACTTCAATCTATATCTTTCTCGCGCATCTGACCGCTCCTTACCGTCTTGCATATCCCAGTCGTCGCAAAGATACCACAAAACTCCTCATATTCCTTCTACCGCAATCACAGTCTAGCTGTTTTCCAGCACCATGTCTGTTCTCACTACTCTGGCACCCGTCCCACCGGATGAGATCTTCGCCTTGAATCGCGCATATGCCACTGATCCTTTCCCGCAGAAAGTCAGTCTGGGAGTCGGCGTCTACCGTACCGACGATGGCAAGCCATGGCCCCTTCCATGCGTGCGCGAGGCCGAGAAGCAGTTGCTGGCCGAAGACAGCCTTTCCAGACACGAGTACACCGCCATTGAAGGCGACGTCGCCTTTCTCGAGCTGGCTCGGGACGTAATGTTCGGGTTTGATGGCAAGAACGCAGCGGAGAGGCACAAGAGTCGCATTGGCTCCGTCCAGACCGTCGCAGGCACCGGCGCAAACCACCTCGGAGCTCTGTTCCTGGCAACCCACATGAAGCCCAAGAACATCTGGCTCTCCAACCCGTCCTGGGCTAACCACATGACCATCTGGGAAATCGCGGGCGTCCCCCGCAAGACCTACCCTTACTACAACCCCGCGACCCGGTCCTTCGACTTCGACGGCATGATGTCGACCCTGGAAGCCGAGGCACAGCAAGGCGATATCGTCCTCCTCCACGCCTGCGCGCACAATCCCACCGGCCTTGATCCCAACAAGGAGCAATGGAAGGCCATTGCCGAACTCTGCGAGCGCAAGAAGATCTTCCCCTTCTTTGACTCGGCCTACCAGGGTTTCGCGTCGGGGTCCCTCGAAGAGGACGCATGGGCGGTGCGTTACTTCCTCAACGAGAAGCCCGGCATGGAGATGTGCGTTGCGCAGAGCTTCTCCAAGAACTTTGGGCTCTACGGACAGCGCGTCGGCGCATTCCACTACGTCTTGCCGCAGGGTAGCGACAGCCTCCGCGACACCGTCGTCAATAATCTGTGTCATTTGATCCGGGGCGAGTACTCTATGGGTCCTACGGCGGGTTGCAACCTCGTGAAGAAGGTCCTGACGAACGAGGAGCTCACCGCGCAGTGGCACGACGATCTCAAAGTAATGAGCTCGCGGATCCGCTCGATGAGAAAGGCTCTCTATGACGAGCTTCTGCGGCTGAAGACCCCGGGGTCCTGGAGACACATTGTCGAGCAGGTATTGGCCCCCTACCTTCAACAACCCACGACCATTCGCTTACGCACGAGGCTAACCTGGTCATCTAGAATGGAATGTTCTCCTACACCGGCCTCACCCCCGCGCAGGTTTACTCCCTCAAAGACAAGTATCACATCTATCTGCTCAAGTCCGGCAGAGCTTCCATCAGCGGCTGTAAGCCAATTTCCTCTCTAAATCACCAGTTGAATTCGAACTAACCTCTTTGCTATCCAGTGAGTCAAAAGAACGTCGCGTACGTCGCCCAGGCCATCGACGACGTCGTGCGGAACGTCTAGACCTGCATACCTGCATCTGAGCCAACCGCTACGGCCATACATTCAATTGCGTTAATTGCGCCTGATACGAGGAGCTTACAGGCCGAAATTAGAATATAGACGGGGCGGTATTTCGAGGTCCCAGTGACCATGAGCTACATTACATTTTGCATTTTGTGCCCTTTGCCCTGATATATACATGAGATTCATGAAGCATGTATGATACGCTATGAATAGAGTCAACGATATTTACGAGTACTTGCTTAGCTGGTTTGGGGCTTCCTCTCTTCGATCATTCATAGCAGGAGTAGGAGTGAGTCATACGGCATTAAGATTGGCTATATACTACAACGAAGTAAAAATGCATCAGATAATGGCAGAGCATACATTCGGGAATGAAAATGTTCAAGGGAAGATGAAGAGGAATGCAGAATCAAGTGCCGTCGGCTTTGCTTTGTTCGCCACAATGGTATAGTAATTCATCGCATAAGTATGCAGACGCAGATACTGTTCAGCACGAAGCATCAAGGATCAAGAACGCGCTCATCACAGAGTAACCTCGCTGAAGTCCCCCTCGCCTTCCTTCCCCTTACCCTTCGCGCCGCTGTCGTTAGTCGATGGTTCTTCCTGTTCCTGCTCTTCTTCTGCCTGTTCGTGTGCGAGTTCATCTTTATCCTTTGCGCCGTCTTTCTCGTCAATTTGTTCCTCCTTTTTTCCAGGAAAGGCAACCTCCGCCGGGCTTGTCGACTCAGATTTGCCGTTCAGTGTTGGTCCCGCATCTACAGCATCATCCTTCGGAGGAGGAGACGGCGGCGATTCCTCTTCATCTGACGAGACCTCTCTCTCATCCGCTCGAGGCTGGCCACTCATATCCGCGCCGGGGAAGGGAGTCACAGGCGGCTCCCCGACGCTCAATTCCCTCTGGTGCGCAGGTTGAGGCTGGAGGCTGAGTCTACTCTGAGACTGGGATTGGGGCTGGGACTGAGACGGCGCATTGGTGGCCATCGACACGGAGGATCTGGTATGTTGATGTGTTGAGGCGTGAATGGGGCCGAGCTGTCTGGCCTTCGGGTCTGCGTTCAGGTAGTAGCCCCGGACACCGACGATGGTGCCCTCCGCCTCACAGGCATCAACCCACTCCGGTACCACGACGGGGATGTTCATCTCCACCGCTTTCTCCCACAGGGGGCCTCTGCCTTCTGTACATACAAAGTGGGTGGTGTCAATGCGGACTGTGTCGATCAGCTTGCCGCCGATGCGATCCAATGCCGCGGCGAGCGCGTCCTTCTGCTGTTCTGGGAGGACGCCAGGGGTAACCGTGATACCGGATAGATCGGTCATCTTGTGCGTCCGACATGTCAGTTTCTCCGATTGATATGTGCCGGCCGTTGTGCGCAGGACGAGGTGGAAGGTATATTCCGTGTCGATGGCGAGACCGCTAATCTTGGTGCTTCGCGTCTCGAGCGGCCTGGGTATCGAACCAGCTTTTGAGCCATTACGGTAGAGAGAAAGCGACTTGAGGGATGCGGTGGCCAGGTCGATCGGGTCCCATTCTAGGACTAGGGAGGTTTGTGTTGCGTTACGGAGGCGGAGGACAGGCGGAGCGGGGGTCTTGACGCCGTAGGTGTTGAGAATTCGCTTCTGTAGCGCTTGGAAGGCTGATGTGCTCGCGGCCTCGGCGGCGTGATTGCGCGATACTGTGATGTCGACGATGCTGCCGGATGTGATGTTGTTCGGGAGGAGGACGGAGGGGAATTCGATCTGTAGATTGCCTGGATTAGCAGCTGTGAATCTTCCGTCGGCCTCTTACCAGTGAGGCAATAATCCTGTGACTCAAGGGCAAAGTTTCGAGATTATGAAAGAGCCGCAAGTTCTAGTCGGACGATAATCATAAAGCTGGGAGAGAGGGAGCTTACGAGTCGGTTGTCCTGCGTCAAAAGCACGGCGACTCCTGCGTCTACCTTGCCTACTGTCAAGGAGACCAACATTTTGAGAAATTAGGACGGCAAATCAGGAGCTATCAGGGATGGCGCAATTGATTCTCGTGCAGCAGCTGATAGATACAAGCGGAAGAATGGGAATAGAAGTGGATGCCTGTCCGTTGTTGACTTGATCATTGAGATGATCGACCCCCATCAATTTAGTTGTCAACACGCCAAGAAGGCACGGCCTTCGCGGCCCAGACTGGGGCCGGGAATGTTATTTTTAAGAACTGACGAAGATTGATTACGACTTCAAATGTTGATATTGTGTCGCATGATTCGCATCTCTCCGGTTTTATGTTATTTTTGAAATGCGATGTCGGGTGCTGCCCAAAGCCGTAGTAATGCGAGTGTATATATACCAAGGTCTCATAGCACCATCGGCTTGAGAGCGCATAGTGTCGCTTCATGTCTCACAGCGACTTGCCATTCTTCCATTATGATTAACTAGTCTTTGTGGGCATCCTTTTATGGTCTTGCTGCCTCTTGCGGCAAGCATTTATCTGCTTCTCTTCGTCCCTCAAATGTCTCAGCAATGTTCTTACGAGATAGTCCATCTCCTTTTGAACAGCGTCGTATCCCACCTTCACACTCTGCGGCAAGACAGCGATCTCGAGGCTGCCTTTGAGACCGTCATTTGGTGGTCTCATAGTCGAAGATCCTGAGGTCCCCGACACCAACCTTCTACCTTCGGCGTCGAATCCTTGTGCTGCTAGGGCCTGCCGGAACGCCAACCGCGCTCGCCTCATACCCCACGAGCGAACCACTCGCTTAAATGACTGCAGCGGCTGTGGATTTACTCTCCACCATAGTGTATTAGGATCCCGGTTGGCGTACAGATGTTGGATCTTGGGTCGGATGGGATGTGTCTCAGAGAGGATATATCGATTGGCAACTGGTGGTATGACTGTCTTAGGGTTATAGCGCATATAAAACTGACTGGTGCCTTTGACAAGCTTCCTTTGCACAGACTGTCCAATCATGATGAGTAGGTATAGGTCTGTTTCTGGACCTTTGCTTCGAGCATCAGGGCAAAGAGCTGTTGGCACATCAAGGGCCTCGAGGCCCAGTCACAAAGGAAGGCAAATCCAATGAAGAGAGGTCACTTGTATGAGTAAAGATGCGCTATCTTAGCTGTCACCAAGTCAAATTCCCATGGAAACAATTCGAAACCAGCATCAATAGCGTTCCTTGGAGATATTGTTGTCCTTCCATTGTTTCCAGGACTCTTTTTCTGCCACAAAAAGCGCCCATGCAAAAGGCGGTGCACATCAATGATTTTGATTGGCGGGTACCTTGTGGCGAGCCTTAGGCAGAATTCAGGCCGCCACGCCACCTCTGACTCGGCACTATATATTTAAACCGCGTCGAATTTGATCCCAGCGCTTCTCTCCGCCAACTCGACACTCCCCCACTTTCACCTCGCTTGGTCCCTAGGATCTTCTATTTTAACCAACTTACTTGTCACCGTATCAAGAGGAAAAGTCAGCGCGCATAGCGAGTCGTCACCATGCCCAAGAATAAGGGAAAGGTAAGTTGTCGCTATTACCGTGATTCCCCAAGAGAACCCCGCTCGCGAAAGTTTTTCGCTGTCATTTCGCCGTACATTCAGCCCGTTTGGCTGCGCCGCGCGAAACGTGGTCACCACAGTATACGAAATGACAGGAAAGCCTTGGATCCTTGATTTTGCCACGGAATTTTGATATCTTTCAAAATCAGATGCTAACTTCGTCTACAGGGTGGTAAGAACAGGCGTCGTGGAAAGAACGAGAACGACAATGAGAAGCGTGAGCTCGTCTTCAAGGAAGAAGGCCAGGAGTATGCGCAGGTCGTGAAGATGCTCGGCAACGGCCGACTGGAGGCCATGTGCTTCGACGGCGAAAAGCGACTGGCACACATCCGAGGCAAGCTGAGGAAGAAGGTCTGGATCAACCAGGGTGACATCATCCTTCTCTCGCTGCGTGACTACCAGGACGAAAAGGGCGACGTTATCATGAAGTACACCGCCGACGAGGCCAGAAGTCTCAAAGCCTACGGCGAGTTGCCCGAGCACGCCAAGATCAACGAAACCGATACCTATGGCCACGAAGGCTTTGAGGACAACGTCGAGTTCGACGAGGACCGCGAGACCGAAGATGAGAAGGAGATCGATGTCGACGAGCTCTAAAAACCGTTCATCCCTGTGCAGTCAACCCTGCGAGAGCCCACCGGGGCCCCCTTTGCCGCCAACTCTGTTCTCCCGAACTCCGGGACGTTCTGTCGATTCTTCTTTCTCTTGCGACCAGTGGTTTTTGCCGCGCTCGGAAGGAAAATCCACGCCTGGGCTCTTTCTATTCTTGTGTCGCCTGTCTCCCCAAAAGGTGACACCGAGGAGGATCAGAGTTACGGTGCCTCCCCGCTTCGCGTTCGAGACCGCTTCAAGCGCCACCCGGTGCCGTTCCTATCTGTCAGGGTTGATAGGGGAATTTCTGAGATCGTGCATGTTGCTGAGCTGGTTCGGCTGTGCCGTAACTCAGTCTCCATCATGAATCTCGATTTCAGGTAATTCTGCAGAGAAATAGTTGCCAATGCATGTAATGAAACTGGCTGCAAGGTGCATGTTTCGTGTTAGCAATTTGTTTGTCTGTTATTTCGTTCCTTCCCTCTTCTTGAAAATTTACGATAGACTTATGGGAGGTTTATGAGAATCAAAAATATTCCGTCTTCCGATTGTACATGTAGCTGGTAACCGCCGTCCTCAATATTTACATGAACTGTGCCCATATGCTTCTGATCAATCTGGATAAAGACAATCTCAACTAGTTTCGAATAAATTTTTACGGAAGAAACCAACGATCTTCCGCGCGGCCTCCCTTCCAATCAGAGGATCAAGCTGCTCAACATCCATATTCGCAATCTCGCTGATATTTCCCGTCTCAAGGATAAGTCGCTCAAGCACCTTTGGCGTCACGCCTGGAACAGCACGCAGCATGTCCTGAGGGAGAGCATTGAAAGTACGATGCTCAATACCCGCCGCCGCCATGACATCGCCTGGATGTGATGATGCGGCAATATCCATATCAAGGCCAATCTGCACAGCCCGGATAGGGTCTGGTTCTGGGTTATTCTTCTTCAGCTCAGCGAAGATTTCGGCGGTCTGATAGGGTGAAGAAGACCATATGATCTTCAGGCGTGGGAATGTCAGAGTGAGAAGCACGAGGAGATGCTGGGCGGATTTGGGGCTGGATGGGTTCATGAGGGAGCTGCTGACGGATAGGGAGGTGGTTCCTGTTCCGGATGACGAGAAGCCATAGTCAGTAAGGAATGATGTGCCAGGTGTCGACGCGGATGCGAACGCATCGAACGTGAAGGATTTATTCTGGTCGAATTCGATGAGCAGTAGAGGATTCTTATAATGCTGGAGCATCGTCTCAGTTTGGTTGTAAAGGCGACCATTTCTCAGGGAAGCGATGAGGTCACGGACTGATTTTCGCTCCACACAGATATCTGGGGTCAGGATATAGTCGCCGACTGTTAGTTGGCACGGGACGATGACCATGCTGTTTCCGTGCAACAAAGACGGAAGAGCACTTCTGAATTCTCGAACGTCCACGACTACCCGAGGAGGTGACGCTGTTGCGGCTAATCGGCCCCCTCCGGCGATTCGCGTGTTCACTGTGCGAAGGAATTGTTCCTGAGGATCTTCTTGGCTCTTATCATGCGTTAGGGTGACAGCCATGCTCTGGGTAATGCATCAATTAGTACACGGAGCGAATGAGACACGGACGAAGCCGCTTACCCCTTTCTCTTTTATAAGTTTAGTGAATGAGTCCTTCTCTCGTCGGACTGCACTCAAGTAACGCTGTTCTTCCACGGAGCCTCCATAGTAGATGAAGTATACCCTTACATTCCTTCCAACATGCGAGCTGCGATAAACTTCCACCCGCCGAATGAACGCTGGGTCGGGTTCGTACATAATAATATATCGCGGCCGCACTTCTTCCAGTATATGCTCGTCCATATCGCCATCGTAAGGGTGTACTATCACCAAGTCGTCCATGTCATAGAGCTCGAAGAAATCTTCCGTGTCTTCCAGGTCATCACTGATGATATCCTCTTTCTGTGTCTCTTCAATATCAGTTGGTTGTAATACTTCTAGTAAGCTGGAAACTTGGCCCGGCAATTCGGTGTCAGTCTGAACGCTAGCATTCGGTACACGCGCTGCAGCCGATGTTACTGCTCCTCCACCGCGGACACGACGTCGTTTGTTTGGAGGAGCTCTTCCCTGCTGACTCGTTGGCTTCGGCGACTCCTGGCCCCTTGCAGTCTGGGTGTCGTCGCTTGATTTGGCAGACAGATTCTTGTTAACATTCGACAACGAAGTCTTCCAATCAAGATATTCGCGTAGTCTTCTCCGCAACATTACTTCCGCAGAAAATCTCTTCCCGTTCACAGCATCAAGGTCTTCTGGATCATCTGGCCTATCTTTACCGACTCTGGCATGCATTGTTCCGAGATACTCCCTGATTTGCCGGCAGGTCCGTTGGTCAGTACACATGATTAGGACAGTACTATTCGATTCATCCGTGCTGACAGGATTTAAATAAGCATCTTGTTCAATCTCCTCTAGAACTTCTGCTAGAACGGCCCATTTGGGCTGTTCCTCCAGAACAGGTTGAAGTGTAGAAGGCAGAGAACCCAGCGGAGTATTGGCCGCATCACTGGTGATCTTTCCTTCGTACACCCTTGACTTAGCGGTCTGGAAGAGTACGTGAGCAGCATCGAGAAAGAGCCAAGGTGAATGATTATGTCTTGTCGAACCAGGCGGTGGAGAATGCGCGGTTACAATAGTATCCAGATATTTCACGAAGGAGACCGCATCATAAGTAAGCAATGCGCTGTGCTGAGAGTTAGTTCCTATACGGACACGAGACCATGCATGTTAGGGGTACTCAGACGTACTGAAGGATCGCACGAAGGTCGGACAGGTCGCTGACAATCTGTTTGGTCCTAAAACTCACTCGATGCCACATGGGATCGAGCTGACGCCTGATCGCGACGTCAAAGCTCCTATGCAACGCGCTGTCCAAGGTCCATTCCGCCATATCAAGTCCAGTATTTGCTTTCTTCAACTCAGCAATACTGATTTCCACACACTCTAAGACCGCATTCTGGATTTCGCGCATTTTATCGCTCATCGGCACCTCAAGCTCAATCACCTCGGCCTTTCTGTGTCCCTCTAAGGACTCGGCAACAGTGACATGAAATCGTGGCCATAATGATGTTTTGCGCAGAAACAGGTTACGCATGGAATTCGCCAGAGGAGCAAACCCCGTTGTGAACGGCTCTGGGGAGTCAGAGAAGGCCTTGAGAAAACCAGACTTGTTGATTTGCCGATAGATTCGAATGATGAAAGCTTCGGTAGAGGTTGCTACTATCCTAGAAAACTTTCAGCATACGCTCTTTGTTGATCTCTTGGCACTAGGTTATACCTGTCCGCGTGGAGCACAACCAAGCCTGTGACCTTTTCCGGGTCGAGGAGTTCTATTTGCATGTCTCAGTAAATAACATGGTGGTCATCAGAAAGAGAGCCTTACTTGATAGCAGATCAACTACAAGTATCCTGGATGTTACACTCAGAATACCGCCTTGGGTGTAGATCTTCTCTCTGGAGGATTATCAGTGACTAGATAACCTATTCCGTTAATAGAGCACGTACCGCATGGGAACCGTCGCCCTTTCAGTGTTGATGACTCTAAGGCCCCTGGCCAGAGGGGTCTTGCTAATGGCATAGTGTTCCGCGAGAGCTACAAGCTTTAGTCTCGCAACTTCTGAATGTCCTGTCAAGTATTGTGATCCGCATACTCCGTACCTTCACCGATCCATTCATTTTCCCGATCATCAGCACCCACAACTAGTACTAAGTTGTTCCCTGCGGCATCGTAAAAGTGGAGTAAGTTCGTCACCAAGCGCAGGAGGCCCAAACCTCGGGCAAGGATGACAAGCTCATCTTCGGCGCGTAGTTCGGTGAAGATGTCCTGCTGATATTGCTGTATGCGATGTCGTCAGCACGTGGATTACGGTCTAGGGATGATCTTTTGGCTCTAATAAGACACTTACCAAGGGCAAGGACAGCTTCACCGGGACATTGGCGCGTTCAGGTGGCATGAGGAGCCTCTTGACGCGGAAAAAAGTCCTTCTTCCGACAAATTGAGCATTGATGAGGACGCGGTGTCACCTGACTATGATGTAATCGTCTGAGTTGGCTCAGATAGCTTTGATTACCTTTCTCGGCCTAGCGCGAGCAATGATCTCTTGGATCACGAAGCTTACCTCCAAGTACTCCGTACCTATGCACCAATTGTCCATATCGTGGGACAACCCAGCGTATCTATGCAAGGAGCAAAGCTCCTCCGAAAGCTTTTCCGGGGCTGCAAGTCAAATTGATACGGCCCTCGAGGGATGCTGGAAACAAAGTCGCCCAGTTTACATTGCAATTTCATCAAACCTGGTGAAAAGCAAGGTGGATGCCACTAGACTGATGACGCACTAAACCTGACAGCGCCTGATAACGATTCAAATTCTCAGTCTGTCGTGATTGAAACGGTGCTTGAGGCGCTTGATAAGGCGAAAGATCCAGTGACTTTAGTGGATAGAGGTGCCATATGCCATCTGCGCTTGCTGGAGTCCGCGATCTTGTCCCAGCCCTAGAGATTCCTGTCTATGTCGCGCCCATGGAAAAGAGTGCGGCGAACGAGAGTTTACTTACATTTGGGATATTTATTCTAGGCTGTCGTCCCAGAATGCCGTTTGCAAGAGAATCGAATCCTCAGATCTTGTTCTCCGCATTGGGCCATTTAAATCTGACTTGAACACTGCCGGGTTTTCAACGAAGATCGATCCTGCCAACTGCATCGAGCTCCATAGACTTTGTCCAAGTGAGAGACTGTTTATTCAGGCATGCATTTGAAATGGACATTGAGAGCTCCCGTTGAGCGTCTCGAAAAGCTGCAAAAGCCCGATAAGGCTTCCCTTCCGCTGCACAATCAATTAGAGCCCTCGATAGATCTAGGTACGGCCATCGAATTTTGGTATATGTGGAATACGATTGCCGAGTGAGGCGAGTCTACCTTAGTGTGCCAGCCCGCCTGCTTCAGCATTGGATACTCTGTGGGGGCCTGTCAAGGTGCTGCACTGGCCGTCAAAGACTCTGACATGTTTGCGTGGCGTACCATTCTTTTTGTTGGAGATTGTAGCTTCCAGATTGCCCAAGAAGTGAGCACTTCGATCAGACACAAACTGTGCCCTACCATGTACGTGAAACAGCCCCTTCAGCAAATATTGAATTCTGATATCTGATCAGTATGACAGTTTCGTTGTCTGCGATGGCGAATATACAATCAAGCGGTCTGTTCATGGACCAAACGCTTCGTATAATGATATCCAGCCTTGGAGATACACAGAGGTTCCGCATGCGTTTGGAGCTGACACCGGCGTGATGTTCATCAAGCGCGGACCAAAAAGCAGTTAGACGAGCTGTTTGCGGGTCTTCTATCTTCTTTCCCGACCAGCCTGCAGGTGGGTCTCCAGTCCTCCCATTCTACAAGAAGTCCTTGTGACAATCAACAGTTCGTTGAGTTGCACATGCCCAAGCATGATGCCCCTGCATCTTTGAAGACTTTGGCTCAGGTAGCACTGCTCGAAATCCGAAATAGACTTCGATTCAACATATTTTTGAAATGGGATTTACAGATTGTTCGGTACTATACTGAACGATCATCGCTCTGGTACAATTGGGTAGAGTGGCATTGCGTTCGTTGCATTCATCAATATAAGATAGAAAACAAGCAAGGAGCATGGAAGAAGCTGGAAGTCACAGCAACCTCGTTGAAAAGACGGCATGGTTGTAACATGATCACCATAGCAGAATACATCATTCTACTGGTTCAGTTCCTTCTTGCGCTGTTCGATCTCCTCCCTCGAGGCTTTGGGTGGCATACCTGTATCGCTATCAGTAGGTGGTGTAATGTTGTCTTTGTGAAGGTATGCTCACTGTCAGGAATCTGAGGTCCCTTAGAAATATGATCAAAGGCAGTAGCCTTCTTTTGCTCATGCTCTGAGCCCTTTGAGGAGTTATGTTCGGAGTTATTGCTTCCCTGCGCCGTGGGGAAATTGGAAGTATCTGACGGAATGACAGGCATGATGAATCCACGTGGACGGATAGTGCTTATCTTCTTAGATTAGCCGATAGATAGTAAAATTTAAAATGTGTTTGCAAGTTCAGAGAGATGGTTGATAGAATTCAAGACATCGATAAGGCAGAAGCAATCAGCCCTAATTTATACTTGTGTAATTCGTGGTAGGCGGGATGACGTCGTTGTAGTTATACCTCAGGCATTCAGGTTGTGCAGCAGTCCACAAGACCAGGATCAACTCCTTGGATGAATTTTGTTGACAGACAATCATTCCTAATGACTATATTCTGATCAAATCTGGTCGAGGTTCTCTAGTCTCTGGAAGTCTGGCATTCAGCGAGGCATCCTATATGCATGACTAAGTACCTTTGTACTGCTCAGTAACTATGGCTGATGATAAGCGCATATTAGGCAGGTACTTCCTCCCTTCCAACAAATGTGCGGCCTGACCAGGATGGCAATTATACAGAGAAGAAAGACGGTTCAGATTGAACTAAGTGATTGACATGAATTTTAGATGTTAATAAGTATATGCTGTTGAGCTCGCAGTAGATATATAAGGCATAATAGTTATACTCCGTAAGCTGCTAGGCGATGGAAGTTCCCCACCTCTGCTTGGTCTAGTGCCCCCCAGTAGGTAACCACCAAACTCCCAAGTGACCGAACCCAACAGGCTCCTCTTCATCTCTCCAACTATCTTCTACACTACTACTACTCACGTTACCTTTTCGTTCCCTAGAAATAATTACTTCTCATAGAGAAGAAGTCATATTTCTCCTCCCTTCACTCTCCTCGTCCAATTCAGATTTTCCATCATTTGCCAGCCTCTCCTTATAAAGCCGTGGTTGCCGCACTGTATCAACATCTGTGCCTAGCACACGAGCACACTTCGATTCTCATTGAGGCAGCCACACCTATCCTCATGCGATGAATCCGCAACACATAATATAAGAAAAACTTAATTGGTGCCGCCCATTCTCCATCCAATTTATCCCTCGGTCATCCTTTCTCGGCGCTCTGAGTGATCCGTCATGCCGTCCATTCTTAGCGACGCCGACAAAGAAACTGTGAAGAGGAATGTCTCGAAACCATCGAACAAGATTCTTGCTGTAGCCGTTGCGCGGCTCTATGTCGCACACCCCGATCCCCAAAGATGGACATACACAGGTCTGCAGGGTGCTGCGGTGCTCGCCAACGACCTGGTCGGGCGGACGTTCTGGCTAAAGCTAGTGGATTTATCTGTGAGTAGCTACTTCTCTCAAAAAGGCTGTCATTCAGGAAGAAGACTGCTGACGGCTCGTCGCCACTTCGGAGCATAGCCTGCTGGGAGAGGTGTTATCTGGGACCAGGAAATCTATGATAATTTCGCATACAATCAGGACCGCACGTTCTTCCACACATTCGAGCTCGAAGACTGCGCGGCCGGTTTCTCTTTCGCCGATGAGAAGGAGGCAAAGACCTTCATTAAGAAGATGCATGAGCGGGAGAAACATGCAAGCAAGGAAACCCGTCAAACACCGTTCGCATCAACTCGAGGCCAGGGTCCAGCCCCTATGGTCAATGGCAAGTCCGGCGTGGGACGCTCGCTGTTCGGCAGTCTACTAGGCCATCGGTCGCCCTCAGGGTCGGGTGTACCACCTCCTGCACCTGCACCTGCAGCACCTTACATGCATCCAACTCAATTAGCTCCGCCGCCTCCCCCAAGCAGTCCTCCGCGCAAGGAGTTGCCCTTTGATACTAGCGATCCATCATGGAAGGGGCTCCTAGATGAACTCCTGCAGATGGGAATTACGGAAGACCAGATTGCGGAGAATTCCGACTTTATCAAGGCCTATATAGAACAGAGGCAAGGCAACGAAGCTGACCCCACATCTTCCCCTTCGGAAGATCAGAGGCGAGGCAAGGCTCCGCCTCCTCCACCTCCATCTGCCCCTCCCGCTTTGAAGACCACTGCTATCAGTCCACAAAACACCGGCAACAGCGCGGGTAGTCGACGGGGCGCACCGCCACCTCCTCCGCCGTCGCGCAAAGCTCGTCCTGAAGCGGAAGAGGAACCGGCGCCTGCGCCAGCTCGCGAACCATCGCCTCCGCGACCAAGGTTCCGTGCACCGCCTCCAATCGCAGATGCAGGTAAGCTCGCTCACACCGTTGGCCCTCCCGTTCCTGGCCGACAGAGAGCCATGTCCGGTACCAACCCTGGCCCGCCTCCTCCTCTGCGACCTCCCAAGACCCCTATGGAGGAGGGTGGTGGCCCCCGTTTCGGGGTTCCTCCTCCTTTCCAGGGGGAGCGGAAGGTATCCGCCCCGCCAGTACCGCCCAGCCGTAGTTCGGCACCTCCAGGGCCCCCTCCTCCTC